GCCCAAGTTCTCCCTGGTACAAAAAAAAAAAAAAAAAGTTCTCTTGGTATCAGGATATCAACCATTCACACAACTTTAATCATAGCTCCTACTGCGTGGTCCTCATCATCTAAGTCTCTAGCTCAAAATTGCTACACACTTTTTCATGATTCCAGCTACACAGCCTACCGATAAAGATCACATTTCTCTATGGGTAGGACTAACCTTAGGAATACTGGCATGTCTATTTCTTTTCTTCAATCTCAACATCTAACTAATGTGTGGAAAACCTGGACAAAATTATATCTGCTTTGTGGATATAGACTTTTTCCTTAGATGGCAGATCCCAAATTAAAACCTGCAGGTTGGAGAGAGGTATAGAGTGCACAAAGTTCTACCATGGTTTTTAAGGCACAGGTCTAGAATCTTATTTTGCAGTTAGCTCACAGAAAAAAATATTTTACAAATCAAACAATAACCAGTATTTTCTCTTCATTCATCAGCCTTCTGTGTTTGTCTGCTCATTTGCTTCTCAACTCAGAAATCAGAAAAAGGAGTGATATTTATTTTCCTGTGAAAATCCCCAAAACACACTCAGATTCTCATCAGTTCTTCCACAGTGGAATCTATAAATTGTGCCAAAAAATGCAAACATGGCTTGAAAATAAGACAAAAAATTTGCCTTTCTTAAATGCAGAGTCCTGCAAGTAGAAACATTCAAGGTAAGATTATTTAATCCAACTCCATCCTTTTACAAAATAAACTGAATTTCCCAACTTCCTTTAGTTATTCACAACTAAATAGTGGGTAGGACCTATATTTTCCTGTGTGAAGTCCAATACTTTACTTCCTGTCACATGGCTTTCAAAATGGCAGCAACTTCACCTTATGAACCGTATGATGTCCTCCATGAAGAAATCAACTGAGCCACAATATGGATCCACCATGGCAAGACTGAGGTACTCCAATTGCCTCTAAAAGATGTCTTTGAACCTTTCCAAGTTATCCTTTGGGGTATGAAAAAATATATTCAAGAATTAGTTTCTGTGTCAAGAATTAGTCATTTTGGCAGCCCAAACCATTACATAAAGCAAGACATAATCTTATAGACAATGCTTTAAAATTATTGAAGTCTTTAAAGAATTTTTAACCCAGAGCCTTATTATATAATATCTAGAGTGTGTGTTAAGAGTTTAATCCATTTTATGTTCAATTGTGCAATACTTAAGTAATGCTTCTCTTGGTGTTAATTGGCATTTGGTAATTGATTGACCTATCAAAAACCATCATCCATACTCTTTAAAAGAATGAGAAAAATGATGGAGAAGTCCATTATTTTAGGATGAAATGCATAGGTGTAGCTATTTGTTAAAAATTTAATCAAGCTAAAATTAACCTATTCATGGGCTGGTACATGTTTCCATGGAAACTGGTTGAGGAGTGGTCCCCAAAAAGTTTTTATTAAATGTGACTTGACCTGTATATCCATATTCACTCAGGTGTGAAAAGCAGATAATGTCAGGGTTAGAGCAAAAGAAAAGAATAGAATAATCAGTATTTCCTCTGAAGAAGTTAGAACTCTAAAAGTGTCACTGAATAGTTTTAGGAGCAACTGGAAGACGATCTGACCTCAGCTACAGTTCAGGAACCATCTTAGCATGTGAACTCACCAACTGGATCTGGATACAAGTCCCAGTTGTGATGTAGATCAGTTCACATTATTGTGTTATTTGAACTGTCAAGGCCTCTCCATTTCCTCCTCTGCAAAAAAAGTGTTAATAATAGTACCTACCTCCAACAGCTACTGAAGGGTTCATTGATACAGTGCTTGCTAAGTCCTCCCACAAGGCTGTTTCACCATGATATAATAAAACATTCGGTGTGTGTGTGTGTGTGTGTGTGTGTGCGTGTGTGTGTGTGTGCCTTCATTGATAATTATATATTCAGTTCAAATTGGCACATGTTATTCCTTTCAACTCCACTTTTTTTTTAATATTCTCTTAATAGGAATTTAAGTGTATCGAGGCCTTTGCTGTTTAAGTGTATTGAGGCATCACCATGCTGTTAATATGCCGTACACCTTCCTGCGTTACAATATCCTATCCCGTCCCTGGGTCAGTAACAATTACCTATATAAGCTGAGCCCATCTGAGCTTATAAAAATTATACAATGTTCAAACTGAAGATGAATTATGCCATCTAATGCAAACAAATATTACACGTAGGACATGGAAGACACCCAGAAAAGTGGCATGAAAATTGAACCCTGTCTGCCGCCAGAGTGTGGACATTCTACTGTGACTTCTAGAAAATGCATTGACTACTGCAGGGAACAGCAGTAACAATAACAACAACAGCTGGCAGTGTATTTATGGAGCATTGACTTAAGCATCACAACAACCGAACAACAGATAAAACTCTTATATGAAGGTACCTCAGTTTTGAAAAAATATAGACACACAAATTTCCCCAAGGTTAAAATTAAGTGATACAGGAAAAATACCTGTCTGTTCCTGTTACAAATTTACATACCAAGTATATGTTAGATTATTTAAGGAATAAAAAGAACAATTACTAAGCACTTATTATTACCAGAGGGTTTCTACTGGGCCAATCCTGAGGGATAAATGCTTTTTCAGGGGCAAGTCCTCAGCTTCCCAGTTGTACAAGGGACTTATCCCCATCTCTTAAAACATATGTAAAAGGACGTAGTCTGTGAATGTCCTGCCATAATGTCCCTGTATCATGAAAATATGGAATGTCGTGTTTTGTGTGTCCATGTGACTGGGCCACAGACTGCCCAGATCCTTGCACAAACTTATTTTTATTTTTATTTTTTGGTACCAGGGATCGAACTCAGCTCCTTGCGCTTGCAAGGCAGGCAACAGAACCACTGAGCTAAATCCCTGGCCATGAACTTTTTATTCTGAGAGTGCCTGTGAGTGTGGATGAGATTACATTTGAACTAGTGGACTAAACAGATCACCTTCTGTAATGGAGACAATCCCATCTAATCAGTTAAAAGTCTGAAGAAAAAAAAAAAAAAACAACTTTCCTGTGAGTTTTCTCCTGCTTGACTGTCTTTGAATAGGACACTCAGTATTTTCCTGCCTAAACTAAAACATGAGCTCTTTCTGGGCCTGCCAGAATTCAGTTCAAACTATTACCATTGGTGCTCCTGGGTCTGCAGCTAGCTGACCATAGATCTTGGGATTGAGTAGCCTCCATGATTCAGTTTCCCTGGAGAACCATCACTAATACACATAGGTTTAGGAGAGGTTGGATGAAACACTGTACATAACAGTACTGATAAAATCAAATTAAACCACAGGAGAAAAAACTTTAAAATACCAAAAATAACCATAGAGCCAAAAAATAGATGTAAATAATACAACGTAAGCAGTAGCTGAAAAATGAAGAAATTTATCAGTGGCTATATTGTAGAGGTTGTGGGCTCTGTCCTGTCCTGTTGAGTTTCTCCCACAGGAAGGTCTGGAGTGGTGAACGAGGTAAGTCCTTGGGAGGGACACCATCGCTCACAGCTCCATAAGTCCCCTACCCACCACAAAGTGGCAGGTGCTCTGAAAGCTGCAGCTTGTTTCCTCATTTATATCACCCAGCCCACTTTAGAGCAGACGAATTTGCAAAAACAATGATAACGGGGGCTATGAGACAACACTGAGATGAATTTTCCACAGTGAGAAGAGTAAACAGCAACACAAAAGACAGGAGTCTCAAGTTACCCTAAGCAAAAGGTGCTTTGGGAACCAAACTTCGGAACCTGCTATGGCTTCTAGGGGCCCATGTCCCTTTCATAACTCAAGGTCTTCCAGTCACTCCCTCAGAAATGGAGCGAACATTCCCTGAGTAAAGACAAGTGTGGGTTTGAGTGGTGCATGGGATAACGTCAGTGAGGACACACCGTGTCATTCCTGCCCACCACTCAAACTCCACACACAAACATGATTTCTGAAGGTAACACATGCCAAAGGGACACACAGTCATGTACTAAGCAAAGAGCCTTTTGAGGTTATAAATAAAAAGAGAAAATGGAATATTTTTCAAGGATCAAGAACATGTCGCCCAACTCTCAGCTCCATGCCTTGTGAAGAGCCCCGTGCCAGTGAAGATGTGACACTGAGCACATGGACTCCACCCGCTTTGTCATAAGTGGGACCCTTCTCCAGCACTCTTTAAGGCATAGCAGTTACTGTTTCAAAGACATGGGATGAGTTCTTTGAACATTCCAGGAAATTTCTTCTTTGAAAGGAAAGGGAGCTTTTCATCGCTCACAGACCTTAAAAAGGCATAGATATTTAGATGATCTCCCATCCCACTTTTCTTAAGAGTGAATGGGAGAGAAAAAAAGGGGGCTGGTCTTATTGAGGGAGCAAGCACTTTTGTGTTAAGACACCTTGGCTTGAATTTTGACCCAGGTTCTTTCTCCTTTTCTATAGCATTATTAATCTCCATGTTTTCATATCCACAGTATGGGTATATTAGTAAAACTTTCTTCAGAGAGGTATTGTGAAGATCAAGTAAGATCTCATTTGTAGAAGGACAGTAATAGGTGTTCACTAAATATTAGTGTCCTCTCTTCTGATTAAAATTCCCCTTAATGAAGAGCTGCAAGAGAAGGGGGCTGTTTGACACAAAATGTCTCTGGGGATAGACATTTTGAGAGATCAAGCCCCAAAACAATAAAGAAATGCAAAATTGTGCTTATGGTCCTACCTTAAATTACAAGCTTAGGGACAAAATGACACACTATATGGTAAAGTATAGGATGCAGTGTAAAGTCCTGTGTAAATGGAGCTATTAGTATCATTTAAGCAGTGACATAATCTGCCAAAGATAGAAGTATGCATTGGGATATATGCTGGCCACTTTGTTTTGAGTGATTATTGTTGTATTGAGTGATTATTGTGTTTTAGCAATTTCTCTGTTCTACTTACAGCATTTCACACCTTTTACAACCGTGTTCAGAAGTGAGCACCTCGTATCCACTTCATAGTAGCAAAAAAACAAAACAAAACAAGAGTCCTGATGGGATTGGATGATGTGCTAAAATCCCAACAGCTGTCAGAGTCTGGATTTTAAGGCAAGATTCTCTGAGGTTCTACTGCTTCCCAGACACAGAAAGGACAAGGAATTAGAAGATAGTTGTGAAGTTTGGGAGTGGTTTTAAATAATGTCTTGACACCAGAGCAGTGTTCCTACTCCCCAGCGCTCATCGTTCTAGTGGGACTGTGGCTGAGAAAATGTATAGGCTGCAAGAAGTGCGGGCTGTCCACAGGGAGAGGCTGAAATTCTGTCTCAGTGATGTGACTATCAACAGGATTCTGCCTATGGAGCAAACTGGCTACCACTTGGTCGTTGCTGACCCAGAAGGTCTTTCCTCTTACTCTTCAGAGGCTCCAGAGAGAAGAGGAAGTTCAGAGGCTTACCATGTCCCCAGCCCTTGTCTGTCTCAGCTCCGCCCTCAGAGGAGCCCTAGGGTCCCCCCATGGCAGTGAAATTGTTGTGTCCAAGAGTTGACCCAAGGAAAACTGGGGGAAGGATGAAACTTTCGCATCTCAGGGAAACCTCAGAGTCCCACTGGCTGCAAAAATGCACAATGAACAGAAATGACTGACTGGACTCACAAACAATTTGATTGCTTTTCTGCTGCATTGAGAGCCTGTGAGGGTTAAAAACAAACAAACAAAAAAAACCCACACCTCTTTGTGAGACCTTCCAGGAATGCAAAACCACCAACATTCTGACAACATATATATTTTTGATTTTGTTAGTCTGTTACCTGTAGCATCCTCAATCTCTCTTTTCAATTTCCCTTCCGATCAACCCTCTTTTTCTTTTTGCAAAGGGCAAGTAAAAGGCTCTGAGGACACAGCTCCAGGGCACAGCTGCGATACGACGATGGCTTTGCTCCCGAAAGCTTCGGCCAGGCTGGCCACGTGAACAGGAGATGGGGAAGGAGAAACAAAACCCTCTATTGTTCTGCAGGAGAACAAACCAGTGCTTAATCTAATGCAAACATAATTACTTTTAGTTAAACAAAAGGGGGGAAACAAATAAAAAGAAAAAAAACTGGATGTTTACAGCGTAGGCTGTCTGCTCAGAAATGAACAATTATGTGGGCATCAGATAGACATCGCATCCCTCCTCTTTGCTGCTGTTCTTTGAAAACAAATTTGAAAAGCATAGAAATAGGAGTTTCTGGGTCCTAGCTATTCTATTATCTTCAACGGTTCCCACTTTAGGTTCACATTGTTGCTCATCTCTGTAGTCTGAATATTAATAGAAGCTAGACACTTCAAGAAACGATATTAAAGTCAGGTGTCAGGAATTAAAATATTTAAAGATCTTTCCCATTGACCTTTGCATGGGATTGATGCTTTTGATATTCTCAAGTAGAGAATAGGATGAAAGGAATTTTTACTTGTCCATTCAACAAATATTTATTATCGACTTTATCTCTATTATATAGCTTACTGAGGTGAATAATATAGAAACGAGGACTTTTCTCCTCATTTAGTTTAAACTGTCTAGCAGAAAGATAAAACAGAATAATTATTCAAATAAGTACACAAATGTACATGTTGCTATGAGAACATATAACGGAGCAGCCCAATTTTCTAGGAGGATGATGAAGGAGGGTAGTCAGGAATAGTTTCTAAGAAATTTTCAGGGTTTAAAGGACAAAAAGGAACTAGCTAGCCAATGAATTAAAAGAGGAAGAGAGAGAACCAGAGGAGGAGGCACTCAGCCTCAGTGTGTTAGGGAATGTCATAAAAATTACCACAATCTTAATGGCTTAAAACAACTGATATTTACTCTCTCACATCTTGGAAGCAAGAAGATGTTACAAGTCCACCCTCCCTTAGGAGGATGACAGTCAGAATCCTTCCCGGACTATTCCAGCTTTGAGAGGATCTAGGTGTTCCTTGGCCTGACACTACCTAACTCCAATTTTTGCCAGTCTTTAAGGTGTTCTTTGCTCCATGTCTTCTCTTTTTCTGCCTGTATCTTCTCCTTTTATGTTTCTTCTAAGAATATTTGTGATTACATTTAGACCTACCTGTTTAATTCAAAATAATTTCATCTGGAGATCATTAATTATACCTGTAATGACCACGTTTTCCAAACAAGGTCACATGTGCAGGTAGCTGTAAAGTAGGACATGAGCATATCTTTTTGGAGAGCATGATCAAACACACCACAGTCAGTGCTGTTGGAAAGTAGAGAATGTGGTAGTAAGAAAAGTGGTTATAAGACATAACTGTAGAGATAATCAAGGGCTGATTGTAGAAGCCAGGTTTCACTTAATGCATGTTGTTTTCTGAATTAACAAATTAGCAGAATTTAGTAGCATAAAGCAATAGCTCATTATTTCAAAGTTCTGAGGATCAGAAGTCTGGACACAGGATAGTCCAACAGAGGAAAATCTGCTCAACCTATGGGAGCAGGAAGCAAAGAAAAAAGGGAGGTCACACTCAGTAACACCGCTTCAAAAAGTCTCACCTCCTAACAGCCCATCCAGCTATGGACTCATTAGTGGATTCCACTGATGAGCACGGTGGCCTCTGTGACTCAATCACCTTCCAAAAGGCCCATCTCTGAACACATGAGATTTTGGGAGAACTTTGTAGACCCAAATCGTAGCACTCACACTAGGCACATCCTTGTAACATCCTCCTAAAAATGCCGAACCTATACTCATATAGTAGGAATAATGGGAAAAGTTAACAAGGAGAACTGGCCTCGTCCTAGCCAAAGATCCTCCAAAGCAATTTGAATTTCCAAGAACAATCTCAGCAGAGAGGTGAAAAGCCAGGAACTTTCAGGAAATTGCAGGAGAATTTGTCTAAACAGATCAACTTAGATAAAATAGTCAATACAAATCAGAAATAATTATCTCCTACCTAGAAACAACCCACAAAATGTTTGTTTGGTAGAGTAATCAGAAGAATGAAGTTAACCTCTATCTGGCTTTTCTTCAATCATATAGCCTAGAGGAGGGTTTGCTTGGCTCAGGCCAATGTACAATTGCTCTCCAGAGCCCTGGAAACCCTAATATTTACTGCATTGATGCTCTCTATTAAAATGCAGATCATCCTGTGGAAGACTGGGTTTAAAACATCATGGATTGATGGATTGTCACCGTAGAAATTTAGAGAGGGATTATTCTGTTTGGGTAAAAGTGGATTTGAATATTTCTCTTGAAGAGTTAGAAGGTCTCCATCCAGCCGTATCCATGTCATTGAGACAAATGCACAGGCTCAGCCATTTTCTCTTGTACAATCAATAGCTAAAGTCAGGTAAGAAAATAGATTCTTTGAAAGGATCACTGTATTACAAGATAGCTCTGTGCTGAGCCACTTCCATTTCTGTCCTTACCAAAGTCAAGATCCAAGACAAGAAATTGTACTTCAAAGGACGTTGTGCTTCATCTTACTCTGGCCAGTCTCATTTGAGTGAGCACACCAATTCTGCATCTATTCTGATTCTTGCTTGTCTCCTACTAGTTCACTCAAAAAGGAAACATAAACTTTGCTTTCTTAAAACTCTTCTCAAATCAGCAAAGTAATTGATGAGTTTCTACAGTGCACTGTATTTATAATTAAGCAGCAGTGAATTCCTATAGGGCTGGGACTCACGGTCTCCTGGGACGACTTTATGAATTCTTCTGGGTCCTTCAAGACAGCAGTTCTGTGGAAGTTGGCATGAAATCTAGTCCATGTATCCACTCTGCTCAACACCTTCCTCTGCTGGCTGCCCCACTAGTGCTGCAGAACTTGTGCAGAGAAAGGATACTAGGTTCAAAATGTTTTTGTCTGTGTCATTCACTAAAATTTATGGAAAACATTTAGGTTGCATGAAGGGAAGAGACCTAGAAATTCAAGACTTGCCCATTAGAAGGTGCTGGGCATGGGTCTTATCCAAGATTTTAATTTGAGCAATGTTAGGATGATGATGGGGCTCTTTACAGAGATAAAAACTGAAAAGGCTAAGATACTTTGATCTATGAAAGATGAAAGTCAACTAAAAGATCATTGCAATGCTTAAATATCTTGGAAGTCCCAAAGGATCAATAAAGTCAGAAAAACAAAATACAGGGATAGGGATACATGATTCTTATATTGCTTTCTGTTGATAACATTCATATTATATTTATAAATGTTAAATATAAGTTACGAATAGTAGCAATGTAAAAACAAAAAGGGAAAAACACAATAGCAATACTCCATAGTTCTCCACAGAGCCAAAGGAAACATCTATCTTATAACAATTAATTCTTCCTCCTTCTCTTTTAAAATAGTTATGATTCTTAAAGAAAACCAGGATTTCATTTTATATTTAAATGATGTTCTGTTGAACACATTAACTGTATTACTTCACTATTTAAAAAGCATATTTCTAAATGAGGAAAAATGCATTAGGCTTGAAAGAAAATTTGTTTTCAAGTGAATAATTTCACTTATTTCAAGTGGGAAAAAAACACTACATCCCTTTTGATTATTGTGAACATTTTTCTACCAAGACATTGTAGAAACTTTCCAGAGTCCTAAAAGTTTACTTTTTCACCTTAGGAAAGGTTTAGATTTACAGAATTATTACAAATATAGTGAGAATTCCCATATATCTCATGCCAAGTTTTTCCTATTATTAGGAAATGGCATTGTTGATATAATTACAGAACCAATATTAATACATTATGGATAAATGAAGCTTGAGGCTCTTTCAGGCTTCTTCAGCTTTTTCTTTATCGTCCTTGTTTTTCTCTTCTAGGACTGTCTATAGGGGAGCACTTTACATTCAGTTACCATGTCTCCTTGGATGGCTGAAGAATTGCTAAGACAGTTTCTCAGGTTTGTTTTGTTTTTGACCACACTGGCAGTGTTTTTAAATTAATTTTATTGGTGCATTTTTGACTACATAATGTTCACATTCACCGTAGGGTATTTGTACTTGTACGTATCCTTATTTCTCCTATTGCCCTCCCTTCCCTTCAATTTTTCTTCTATTTATAAAACTTTGCTACTATTGTTTTCCTTCCATTCTTTTTCATTCTTTATCTATCCTTCCTCTTCCTTCCTCCCTTACTCACCTTTCCTTGAACATTTTCTTCCTACTTCCCAGTATCTATCCTCCATTTTAGTGCTTATACCCTTTAAGTTTCTCACACATGAGAAACAATGTGATATTTAAACATATCCAATTTATTTACTTAATGTTATGTTCTCAAGGTACATCCATTGTCCTAAAAATGTCTCAAGTTTATCCTTCTTTACGGCAAAGTAGTACTCCATTGCTATTAAAAACCCATGTTCTCTTTATTAATTCACCCATTGATGGACAGATGGGCTGTTTTCAAGATTTAGCTATTATAAATTATGCTGCTATAAACACAAGTGTGCATACGTTGCTGTGATATGATGCTAGTAACTCTTTGGGAAAAATACCTAGAAGGGAAACAAATGAAACCTTAGGTTTTTTTTTTTTTTTTTTTTTTTTGAA